GGCTGGCGGGGGGCGGGAAGCACCACGAACAGGGGGGCATTTCAAAGTTGCTCTGCGTTTCCCCTCAACTTAAAAAACAGAGAAGAAAGTCGCTTGTAACTTTTTCTTTTTTGAAGGCCTTCCGATTGCATCAGTAGGCTTCTGGCGAGGGTCATTTTTCTTTATTTACCAGCTAAGATGTCCCTTGTCATCTCTTATCCTTATTTCACGCCTCTGTAAAATGGGGGCAGATTAATCCCACTTGAAGTGTTGCTGTCAAGTTTAAGGGTGAGAAAATGTTGGCAGTGCCTTGTACCCCGGAAGTGCCCCATAAAGTCCAGTCTTCTCTTAGTCTTAACCTTTCCTGAAGACCTGGTCGCTTAGCCTCTTCATGCGGGTGAATTTGGGCCCAGATCACTGCGCCCTAAGTACTGTGGTTACATGACAAAGATACCACCGCCTTGGTGCACAGGTTTCTGGAGCGGACTGCCATGGCCGGTTGACTCTGGCATGGCCCCAAGCAGGAGCTTGACTCTCATGCTGACCGACCCAACTACCTGGGAAATCCGGTCCCCAGGTTTGCGTGGAAACGCAAACCTCCAGTCACTGCTCTGTCCAGAAAGCCTGCCCCCCAACCCCCACCCCACGCACACTCCCCAGGCCGCCATTCGCACCTTGCCCCAGGGCTCAGCTCTGAAGCCCACACTCCCCACGTGGCTGTGGCTGCCAGAATGTGTTCCCTTGACCTTTGCTTTTTTACTTCGGGGCTCGGGTTCCCTGGCTCTGCACTGGAATAAGGGAATGGGAAGGGAGGCTATTTCTGAGTGGGAATGCTGAGGGGAGGAGGAACAAAGGACAGAAAAGGAGGAAGACTTTCTGGGGTTGCCCAGAGGTAGGGTGCAAAGATTAGGTCCTTTAGTCCATTTTGGACAAACTCACTGCGGTGACCTGGACACATCACCACGTGTCAGACATTCTTCCAGCCGCAGTGGTTATGCAGCTGTTCCCACTCGAATCTCCCTCACTATGAAAAAACAAAATAAGAGAATCCGCTTCTTACCAAACTGTTCTAGAAGGGAAATGTTTGGTATCCAGGGTGGAGTCCTCATGAGATTTTTGCCAGGGCTTTATGAATAAAGTAGTTTCTTTTCCCCATCTCTCGCTAGGGAATTCTCATTTATGGAGTATAGGAGGAAAAGCCAAAGTTGCAATTTGGAGAATTAATAAAGTCGAATATTAAAAAATATATCATTTTAGGAAGAGCTGTGAGTTAGATATTCTGTGGGACTCTGGTCGGACAATGGAGAGCAAAGGCTGCAGCTTAAAAAAACAAAAACAAAAACAAACCAAAATTGGAAAAGTCACAACCGAAGAGAGGCCACGGCGACTTGCCACTTATTTCATTTACAGAACCCGGATCGCCTGTGCCTTGCCGATCGAATTTCCTGTATAACTTTTTATTCCAGCTCTGAGCGTTGGGGTGCATTGACGGTACGTGTGTGAAGGTGGGGGTGAAAGTGAAGGTCGTAGGTGTATTCACCCCAGGGCCCCGCAGGACAAGAACGTGGCCCCCCAGAGAGCAGTTTCTAAGGGAAATTTCTGAACCTCTTATCCAGAGGAGAGACTTGGTGCCCAGTATACTGGACGGGAGGAGATGGGGCACACGGGCCTTAAAACCAATTAGAAGGGAGTGGAACTCAGAGCAGTGAGGTGCAGATGTGAGAGCAGAACTGGGAAAAAAACAAAAACAAACCCGGGGGCTTATTTGGTAAAGTGAACAAAAGACGGTCAGGGTAAAAGACGGAACCCGTCACGAACCACCCCAGTTTTGAGTAAACAGGCCGTCGTGAAGAATTTTAATAGTGTTCATTTTAGATTTTTCTCGACCCAGGGGAGGGGCGGGAAGAAGATCAGAGGCTGGAGCCTAAAGAGCGCGCGGGTTGCGCACCCCCCGCCAGGTCGGGCTTCCCCGGGCGGCAGCTGCGCCTGCCGGCCTCTGCTCGGCTCCGGCGGGTGTGGTGTCGCACGTTGGAAAGGGAGGTTGGTTTGTGGATAGCAGGAGGCGATAGAGACTGGAGCGAACGCCCAGGCAGCAGCCGAGGCTGCTCACTCTGGCCCCAACCAAGACTATTTTTTTTTTGGCGTTGGTGGCAAACTTTCTACCCACTCCTCCCCCAAACCTAAACAAACGTAATCAAACCCAACTGGGGTGGCCAAAACACGACGCTGCTGGGCCCAATGCCATCCGTCTTTCCGCTTTGGTGTCAGGGAACTTAGACGCCGGTGCCTAGCTACCCTTACAGCCCCTAGCGGCATGCCTGCAAGGAGGGCGCCCTTAGCTCAGCCAGAGCGGTGCCGCCCCTAACCTGTCAAAGTTCGGGGCCCTGACTCCCCCAAACGGTCTCACAACAGGTCCAGGGCCCCTGAACTGGTCTCTGGAAGTAGAGGCGGGGAAGGGCGCCCTCCTTGCGCTGCGGTCCGTTTTAGGACCCGCAACAAGGGACAGGGTGAAGGCGGCAATTCATTGGTTTCCTGAGGGGCATAATTTGGGTGGCAGCTGTTACCGGCAAGAAAAGCTGGCGTCCTGGACCTCGGCTTTGCCCTTTAACCCCAGCCAACCTGTGCCTGAGGGGCAGACTGTCTCGCCTAGCCCAGGCTCACAGCTGACCCGCGCGGCCCCTCCGGCGGGTGCACTGCGCACTTTTCTGGATAATGTCTAAGTGCAGCCGATCAAAGCTACTTGGGGAAAAAAAAATCACCAAGCTTACCCTCTGCACGTGTTTAAAGGGTGCAGGTTGTTGCGTACTCTCGAGGTCTTGGCCCCTTGGGCTCAGACCCTAGTAGGGGAAGGGAGTGGAGGGAGGTACTCGAGGTTCAGAGAGATTTATAAAGAGTGAGGGCCGGGGTAGAAGATTCCAGGTGGTTAGTTTATGCAGAGACCGAAAATTACCCATAAAACCTGAAATTGTCAAGTTGAAACAGGGTAGAAAATGTCATCCCTACAAATTTCTCTCTCACCTGCCCTCTTTCCTCGGACACTCCTGTCGCACTTGGCTTTACACAACCCACCCCTTCCATTTTGTGATCGCCCTGGATGCCTTCCCCTCGCCCCTCCTGGTCTAACTCTGTGGACCAAACCAGAACTCTGGATACCGGTGTCACAATCAACAAACGCAGAGGTTGGCGGGGGGGTTAACCTTTTCTATACCCCCCGACCCCCCAAATAAACGACTCCAGCCCCTGGACCCAGGATCTGTGAAGAGCTCTGTGCAGAGAAGTTCAGCTCGCCGTCCCTCACCCCTATTGAAGTTCAAGCGAATCTCCGCAGTAGACACCGCAGTTTGCCCCCAGGGTGAGGTGGCCGCTTGGACCCGTCCCTTTCTCAAGAGAGCCGCATCTTTTGAAAGTGCAAGCTTCCTGTCCGCCAATGCAAGCGAGTTGCTGGGCGCTGTGTCCTCTAGCGGCAAACTCTCGCAGTTCATTTTTGAGCGCTCACCTACACCTAAGGGGTCTGCGCCGGAGTCAGCTAACGCTCTAATCTGAGTCCTAAGTTGGGGGAAAGTCTGCCGAGTGTGATCCAGGCTTTCGCAAATGCCCTTTCCGTAATGAGGCCGGGCGACTCGGGCGCAGTGGTTCGAACTGCGAACAGCTGATTGTCTCCTCCATGGCAGATGGCCTTTGAGCACAGATTTGCATTCATTGTCTTCAAATCTGTTTTCGCGCTGGTGTTCTACATTTCAGCAGCGGATCTACGCACAGATCAGAATACAAAAGGAGAAGCAAGAAAATAACACCCAGCCAGGAGGATTTTTAATAGGCACCGCGAGCTGCCCGGCGGAGTTAAAAAGCCGTCTAGGGTTTCAGTTGTTTGGCAGCGGAGTTGCTGCTGCTGCCGCCGCCTCCCGGCCACCAGACTGCTGCCACCGTGCGCCCTGGGCGAAATTTCCGCGATCCCCGTTGTTCCCGCCGCTCTGGGGCCCAGGGGACCGTGAGGAAAGGGAAGGGGGCGCTGGCGGGACTGCGCCCAGCGGGTCAGGATCTGTCAGCCACCCCTCCCGTGCACCGATGCTGGCATTTTCCTAGGCTCTGCGACCGTTTTTCACGGCGCTGTTATTTATTTGAACAGCACTTGAGCCCCTCTCGTGCACACCTCGCCCCACCTTCGTCCCTACAACCTCCTCTGTCAACAACTTGCAAACCTCACACAAAGTCTGAGGGTCACCCTGGAACTCTCTTCAGGAGACTTGGGAGAGCCCTTCAGGGAAGCTGGGTGCTCTAGGGGAAGTTTGCACAGAAAATAAGTACACGTGGTCCCACTCTCCGCTCCTTCACAAACACGCACACAGATCCGAACTCCAGGAACGAAAATGCCCCCCAGCAGGCTACAAAAAACCTACATCTAGACTGAGGCAGGATCCACGGAGGCTTCCCGCTCCCGTAGCCAGGCCGAGCCGGCGTGTCCCCAGCCCGCGGGGCCAGGTTGGTCTGCCCCAAGTCAGTTCAGGGGCTTGGGAGGGGGCTCCCCCATCCAGCGCACGCTAGCACACCGGGTTCGGGCAAGGACGCGGCGCCCGCAGCTTTCTGTCCCCTTTCACCTCCCGGACTCCCGACAACGCAAAGCGTGGCGCGCGCCGCCCGAGGACGTCGGCTCGGCTCGTCCGCCGCTGGCCAATCCCGAGCGTCCATGCAAATGAGGCACCTTAGCGGGCCTCGGCTCCGCCTCCGGCGGCCAGGGCCGTAGTAACCCATTCATGGGGCCCGCGCGCGACTGCAGCCGGGCTCTGTGGCGCTCGAAGCCACCGCCTCCTCTCTGCTCCGGGTCTTCCCCTTCCTTTTACAACTGATCCTGTTGGGGATTTTTTTTTTTCTAAATTGGAGCGGTGGGGAGGAGCAGGGTGGGGGGGGCGACCAGGAGGAAGGGGAGAGATTAGGCAGCCATCAATCTCCTGCAGTTTCTCCCAGAACAGGTGATGCTTCAAAATTGTGATCACTTTCAGGAGACAGCACTGCATCTGGAAGGATGCAGGGGCTGAGGCGGCAGATCTGAACTTGCAGCGGATAGAAACGTAAACTTCGACTGCATCAGTCCGCACCTCTCGAGGGAAAAAGGACGGATTGTTATTATTATATATATATATATATTTTTTTCCCAGAGAGACTCAAACTTCGGCACTTGCTCGCCTTTCTTGGATTGCTTTGGAGGACACGGTTTTCTGGCAGCATTGGGAACAGTCAGACTGTGTTGTAACTCTTATTTTTAAAGCAACCGTAGAGGATCAGACTTTTTAAATGTTTGGGATTCAAGATACTTTAGGAAGAGGACCGGCTCTGAAAGAGAAATCGCTGGGTGCCGAGATGGATTCGGTCAGGTCCTGGGTACGGAATGTCGGAGTGGTGGACGCCAATGTCGCTGCGCAGAGGTAACTGAGACGGCCACACAGTTATTATGTTCTCGAAGTCCCTGACTCTTCCTGTCTCTGTCTCTCTGTGTCTGCCCTCCTCTGTTTCTCATCTCACTCTCCCTTTCTTTCTGCCCCCACCCCCCATCTGTCGCCCTGCCCCGCGCACTGGGGCTCGCCCTCGGGCAAGCAGGTAGCTCCAGGCAGGGGAACACTTAACCGCAACCAGCACCCGAGTTTCTTAACGGCCTGGATCGCTTGTGTTCCTCTCCCCAGTTCTTCCCCCACACTCTCCTCTTTGGGAGGAAAAATAAAAAGTCTGGCATCTAAACCCAGAGTCCTGCGAGCTACTTTGGCCCAGAGAGAGAGGACCCAAACTGGCCGCGGAAGCAGAGAGTGGCTTCCCGGAGACTCCGGGTTTCTCCAGTCCTCTTGTGAGAGCCTTTCCTCCCGCATCTTGCCCGGCGGTTCCTGGAGCCCCGGAGCATCGCGGCCAGATGGTGGCGGCGGCGAGAGGAGCCGGAGGAGCCGGAGAGGCCGGAGCGGCTGCCGGGGAAGGCGCTGGCGGCCGGCAGCTCCAGGAGGGCGGGCAGGCTGGAGTGTCCGTCCCAGAGATAAAACACTGGGCCAGAAGTTCGGAGCCCGGGAGACGGGGGGAAGAGATGAAAGAGAAAAGATGCAGTAATAGCTGCAGAAGAAGTCTCAGAAGAAGAGATGAGGAAAGGAGACCAGTCGCCGGACAGGCGCAGGGGTCACTAGCTTCTAGTTTTGCGCTTCCCTGAAGTTCACTTTGTTTCTAAGCGTCCGCGTGCTGAGACAGTAAACGTCAGGTCCAGAATGTCACCTTAAGAAGACATCTCTGTCCCATTTCCTCATCATCACTGCTGGGCTGTGATTTGCGGCCTCCACGTCCTTGTCTACTAAAGGCAGACCTATTACCCCCGAAGAACCCAGGACCTCTCGCCTTTGCGCTCGCCCTCCTGGTCGTCCTTCTTTAAGGACCAGCATCAGACGGAAATTACCCGGTTTTTCAGACAGGCCTGGTGTCCCGGATAGAGCGAAGCGGCTGCCACCCTTGGAGGCGAGGAGGCAGAAGTCGCGGGGCTTTGGGACTTGGGCCGGCGTAGGTTCCCTCCCGCTAGCCTGGGTCAGGGATGCTCTGGTATCTGTGGGTCAGACGCCGCATCGCATCGCCGTGGTGGCTTCCACAAACAGTCTGGGGTCCAGCTGGGCTGCAAGCCGACGGAAATAGGCAGCACTGACCGATTCCTCGCCGTATTTCCTTACCCGGGCTCCTTACGGACGCCTTCACCCACCTTCCTCCCCTTCCCAGGATCAAAAAGTTTGTTAAAGCTGGACGCAGCAGTCTGAGCGGAGGGATTCTAGCCAAAATGGTACAGCTTCAAAACAGTGAAAGTGTTTTAGCACCAGAGTACAGGTTGGGCGACCCCAGCGCCCGGGGCAGCTGTAGCCATCTATGCGCTCCCATGCGTCCCAAGTCCCAAGGCTTTCGGGGTTAAAAGTGATCTGGTAGCAAGTTTGGTCCTGGCCGAGACAGGTCAGCAGGGAAATGTGTGCACGCACTCAATGCTGAATTCAGGGCGCCTCCCGAGTCCCCCACCTTGGATTTCATCGTCAGCGATGTTAGCTGGCGCTGCGGGCAAACTCTGGGTGGGGATTGCCTTGGCCCTCGACAAGGGTGTTCTCTGATTAACATTCTGTCTTCTCCACGCCCAGCAGCTGTGTAGGCGACGGTTACTAGTGTCACTTGTCCTCTGTCAACCTCTTGGTGCTGGTTGTGGGGATTCTGCCCTGCCTCTGTCCCGGGCACAACTTTTCGGAAGACCGAGGGAAGCAGTGCGGGGAGGCGCGTGGGAAGCAGACTTGGGCACTGGGTTGCCTGCACGCCGCCTCTGCTCCCGTCCTTGCCAGGTTCTTTTCCATTCCCTTCTGGAGAGTTAGTGTCAGGGGTGTTGTGGGAAGTGGCAACAGAACAGGTAACTCAAATGAAGAGGGAGCAAAAGCCTCACTTCTTTGAAAGCAAAGGAGGCGCTTATTTCCCTAACCCCAGGTGCTGGCTTTGCTTTGTGATCCAGTTTTGTGATCTAGTCCTGAGAGGGGGGATAGAGGATGACCACGGTATAGGACACAGGCCACTGGCTCAGGGACCCCCCCCCAGGCCTCCGTGTGCAGAGGGTCCTTTGGTTTCCACTTAAGGCCCGGCTGGCTGCGGGATGCCAAGAGCCTGAACCCTAGTGGTGGCAGCGACCCTGGTGTCAACTCTGTCACCAGACCCTTCATCTCTCCCATTTTCCATAGCCATTGCAACTCCTTTAAGGAGTTTCGGCTTCTTAACCCGAATTTTAAAAAAGACCACAAGGGTTCAGGACCTTGGACCCAGGACCTGGATCTCTGCCCCTCCGCGGTGCTGCCTGAGTGCCATAGTAACAGCGGGTCTTTCTCTCCTTCCCGTCTGGTGTTCTCCACGTGTCTTCCTGTGCAGCGGGGTTGCCCTGTCTCGGGCCCACTTTGAGAAGCAGCCTCCCTCCAACTTGAGGAAGTCCAACTTCTTTCACTTTGTCCTGGCGCTCTACGACAGGCAGGGGCAGCCAGTGGAGATCGAGCGCACAGCCTTCGTGGACTTTGTGGAGAACGACAAAGTGAGTGCCCCGTAAGCACCCCCTTACCCGGGCCTAATAACTCCCTCCTTGCAGAGCACTAAAGATTCCATCTGTCACTCGTGACACTTTTCCACGCGTATCATCAGGGATGATAAATTGAGGCTTTTCACCCCACGCCTCTACATCAGTGGATTCCTGAACCTCCTACCACCCCTCTCGGCACTGAGTGCTGTAGGAACCTCTGGGTCCTTAGCACCTGCTATGGACTGATCACGGCCCAAATGCCCTTCCAACTAGATCATAATTTAAAAGTACACCCAGGGCCACTGATGCCTTTCTCTGGGTTATTTTAATTATCTTGCACCTGCCAGCTCCACCACAGTGGGTCAAATCAGTCAGTACTGGGGTCAGAACTAAACGGAACCCCACAGACTAGCCTTGGCTTTGCTCCCGCCCTGCCTGCTCTCCTCTTGCCCTCCAAGGCTGCCTCTTCCAAACTCCAGCCGGTATCTGGGGGCTGGAAAACAGATGTGACCAAAGGAAAATGCCCTCTCGGGCCTCAGTCTCCTCAGCTGTGCAGTGTGTGCTTTAGAGCAAGCACTTCCCAAAGTCCCTCTTGAACCTGAAACTCAGTCCTTGAGCTCATTGCCCCCGCAGGCTCATTCCTCTCCGGAGAGGTCAGAACGCTGCCCTTGCAAGTGCCAGGGGCTTCCGAAGGGCAGGACAGAGCCGGTTGGACAGGGTGGGGCCTGTTTAAAGGCAGCTTTGGCGCGTTGTCCGGTTGTGTGGTTCAGGGGCTGCACTTCTGAGGACGTTTTAAAAGGAGAAGGACAGGGGGCTGAGGAGGGTCCAGTGGCTGGGAGCTGGGGCAAGTTTCGTAGGACAGCCACCTGAAGGGCACACATTCTTGCCCTTTGGCTCGGGGCTGGTTAGGGTTGCAGAGATCTGCCGGTTGGTGGGGGAGGAAGGCAACAGGAGATGGGGTCCGGGCGCTTCTCCTGGCTTTCTCTTTTTCGGGGGCCTGGAAAGCAAGGGAATCTAGCGCTTCTGCCTGTCTTTCTAGGAGCAAGGCAACGAGAAGACCAACAATGGAACCCACTACAAGTTGCAGCTCCTTTACAGCAACGGTGAGCGCCCGGCGGGCTGGCGCGCGTCTGCGGCTTCTGCGTGCGCGGCGGCGCTCGCTGGAGTCTCGGCAGCTGACCTTGCCGGGGCGATTGGGATGGGGTGGATCTGGGACATGAAGGCGACGGGAGGCTGGGTTGGAGTTGGAGGTTGGAGGTCTCTACCTGCAGGACGGGTCGGCCTGGAGCCCATGGCGGTGGAGACGGGTTTGGGGCGCCGGGAAGGGCTTTGGGTCCTTGATTCCAGCGGGTCTCTTTCCCCGCAGGCGTCCGCACGGAGCAGGACCTCTACGTCAGGCTCATCGACTCTGTCACCAAGCAGGTGAGCCAGGAGGCCACTTGGTTCCTCCCTGCTTGTGCCAAATCCATCCCCTCTCATCTCTGACCTTCCTCCTCTAGCGGGTCAGATTCCACGTTCCGCTCCCCTCTGCGTCCACCGCATCTTGTCCACTTAGGAAAAATTTTTTCCTCTCTCACCAATTAACATGTTTTTGTCAGGCCTGGGAAGACACTTGGGGCAGGGGAGGTGACAAAAAGAAGAGAGGAAACAATTATTTGCAGATTCAGTCCCCCAAACTTTCCCATTTTGCCAGGAATGATGTCCTGACTGGGGCCAACTTCTCTGTAATTTCAGTTGAAGTCAACCCAGCAGCTGCCCAGGCTCTGTGCTGTGGGCAAGTCCTAATGAGGTGACGGGGACTGAGAGGGGATGTAGATTTTGTTCTTGCTCTAAAGTCCCCTCTTTGTCCGCCCACCCCTCTCCTTTTCTTCCCTTCCTGCCCCCACCCCTTTCACAGCCCATAGCTTACGAGGGACAGAATAAAAATCCAGAAATGTGCCGAGTGCTCCTGACACACGAGGTGATGTGCAGGTAAGAACCGCCTTCTCTGGGGCTTGGCTGGAAGGCTGGACGGGTGAGCCAGCTAACTTTCTGGGATTGAAGGCACAGAAGGGGGTGGTCTGGAGTGGGGAGGGCCCTGGGCAGATCCACTCCAAGCCGCCTCTTTAAGGCAAGTTTCTTAGGGCATGTCAGTCTGTGAGGACTTGGAAAGGAGAACCAGAAGGACTCAGGATTTTACCTTTATGGTGTGGAAGGTGCTTCCTTGGGCACCTGGAATGCTCCACGGTCACTGGTTTGTGGCAGCGCTGGGAGAGAGCTGGGCGGCCCCAGGTTGGGTTTGGGATTTGGGACCTTCCTTGAACCCATTGGTGACTGCTCAGTTCCTGCCAGGCCTGCTCTGGTAGACGTCCAGGAGGGCCACTTGTGGAGTTACCTAGTCAGAGCCCAGAAAGGACTCACAATGGGATGGGGGGACCACCGGAGGGTGAAGCAGCCGTTTTGGGGGGTGCTTCCCGGCATGTAGGCGCGCATCTGTGATTTGGGGGTGAGGTCACTTTTCCTGTGACTTGACCTGTCTGGGCAGTTTCTTAGGTCAGAAGGGACTGCTGGTATAAAGATGGATCCAGGCAGGGAGGGGAGGGTCCCAGGTGGGCAAGCTTCTAGTTTGGGGTAACTGCAGGCCATCCCCAAAGCCCTGTCTTTCTCCCCAGACTAGTCAGAAAGAACCGTAACAATCGGACATGTTTATTTTGCTTTTAACCAACTATTAGGAAAACAAACTTTCCAAATGCAAAGTTCAAGTCTGCCAGTGGCCTCAGTTTCCTTGCTGAGTGGGTGAGGCATTTGGTGAAGGACTAGGGAGGGAGGTACTTCCTTATCCCAGGGACCTTTGATAGGTTTGTTCAGAAAGAAACTACAATTCTAAGATATACTTGCATGTAATAACGAGATTAAATAGTCAGAACGCTGTGATTTGGTCGGTTAATTAAAGGGAAGATTTAAAAAAAAATTCCTCTCTATGCTTTTAAATGTCTTGGTTTGGAGAGGTTACTTTCTGAACAGAAAAGAAAAACAAAACTCCAAAAATGGCCCATTGACTAATGAATTATCTCTATCACTTTAAATAATACTTTCATGCCCCATCCAGCTGTAGTTAAGGCTGACATTTTTATTTTTAAGCCCAATCAAATCCTCCGCATTTTATGCTGTTTAAGTAGCAGCATCAATTTTTAAAGCCTCTAGTTTAGTCGGCATTAGTAACACAGTATAAAAATTTAATGCACTGTAACTTCTCTGCATTGGAGACCTAGGAAGATGCTCTGCTATTTTCTTCCCAAACTAGAATTTAAAACAAATATTAATTACGGGTAAATAAATGATCCATTGGATGGGTGCTGTCTGCAGAGTGTGTGTGTGTGTGTGTGTGTGTGTGTGTGTGTAGAGATGGGTGATGGCAAATATTGGATGCATCTGAAGGAGAAGTTTTCCTCCAATCTATCAGAGCTGGTCGATTCTCCAGGAAGGGGGGAAAAGTTCCTTCTCTCACATTTTAGGAGTCAACTGTGGCAGTCAGTGTTTTTGGAATGAATCTAATGTCCTGTTCCTCCAGGGTTCTTGCCCGTCCTTAGTTGCAATTTGCATGCAGCTATCTGGTATACCTGGGAACTTCCCCCAATGCTTTTATGTTCTGTAATCTCTAGTAAAAGGCTCATAAATTAGTGTTTAGCTGGGGGGGGGGGATGAAGCAAAAGGACAAAATAAATCTCTTTAGGAATAACTTTTTCTCCCTTCCCCAATTGTCTCTGTTCCTCTCTTCCCCTCTTTGGTTCATTTTGCCAATTATGAGCCAGGAGAAATCTAGTTGTTATGTCGCTGCCAGCCACCCCTGAGCCCTCAATGCTCAGAGGGTTAAAAGATATTATAATTTGAACAGAAGTCGTCTCAAGGCCTACAGCTGGCTAATAACAGAGTTGTATTGAGCTTGAGCAAACCTCACAGCTGTGACTTTCCGCCACAAGGCGCAGGCTAGACAGGGCACTAATCAGATGGGCCAGCCGGGCAGTGGGGCCAGTGTCTTTATCGGCCAGATGGTGTGAATTTAGACACTTTTGTTATGCAATCGCAGGGAGGAGTTGGGGAGAAGAAAACACAACAAAAGCCACCATGCTGTGCGCTTATTTGAGTTTGAAATTAGAGACAGATTTTTGAAAGTTGAGGGTTGAATTTTAAAAACAATTTTGGAGGGGAAAGGGACATATTAGTTTGTCGTAAGCCACGGTTTGGCTGACCGGTCATCCCATCTTCTGTCTAAGGCCGGGGCTTCTCCCCCTCCCCCAACTGCCCTTTATCCTCCTCCTTTTTTCCTTTCTAAAAAAACGCAGGTACCAGTCAGGATTGCGATAAAATTTCTCATATTCCCTCACGTCCCACCCCCACACTTGTTTCATTCTCTCTCTCTCTCTCTTTTCAAAGACATCAGGCAGAGTCAGGGAGGCCGAAAGAGGCCTGTGAGCAAGTTGAGAGTGTTTTAAATAAAGGATTCTCCAAATAAGTACTAGAATAAAATAAACCAAACCAAGCCAGACAGAAAGAGAGGAGCAGCTTTCATTTTTATTCATGGCGGGTGGGGAGGGGAGCACCTCTGAGCCTCTCTAGGGTTCTTAGGAACACAATCTTAGCCTATGGCCAAGTCCAAGTTCATTGTTTTTCTTTATTTCTTTTTTCTCCCCCCACCCATCTTATAGTCATTTTTTGTTTCAAGAAAAAAGCACTTATCAGGAACTTCAGATTTAGAGCTTGCTTGTTAGGAATCCTGAAGCCTGTTAACTGAAGTAGCTGAACCTGGAGTTGGTGCACCTGGGCTTTGTCTATGTGGCAAAGGGAAGGGAGAACTGAGTTTGTCATCTGAGAAATCCAGTTCCTTGGCGATAACTGTTCACAGGGTTTGGGGGAATGTGGGTTCATGAACCTCTTAGCCCCCCCCATTTCCCCTTCCTTGTGCTAATACTGCTGGTATGGGGACTGAATGTCCTTTAAGAAACGAAGACTAACTAGGATATATTAATGAGACTTTTTCTTTAAGAAAAAAAGAGAAAAAAGAATTTGCTTTGGCTGATGTAGAGACCCAGAGAAGTTTTAAGAAGGGCTCAAATGGGGTCAAGACAACTAGATTCTATTATTTTCATATCTTCACTATAGTAGTTCCACGACCGAGTGAGCGTTTTCTATATATTTTCTGTGCTGAGTATTAACCTTCGAGATTATAGTTAAAAATATTACTGTTGGAAAATGGAGGCTGGATCCTAAAGTTTCTTTGCATTTTTCTTTGCATGCCATTTCCTCCCAAGCTGTTCCCCCACAATCATATTATACCAGCACCAGGCTCATGTTCCTATCTGTTTGTCTTTTCCTCCAGAGAAAACCCCCGTGGAAAGCAGCTGAATTCAGCTGAGTAATTTTGCAAACTTACTCTGCCTCCTCAGAATCATTCCTCCCCAAATTAAACAGATTGGCACATCCTGACTGTGCACGCTCCTGTAATTAGGTTACACCTGGAATTGCACATATATTTGGGGTTAGGTTGCTTTGCTGTAGTGTCAGAGGAGAATCTCGCTGGAAGGTCTCTGGTAAGAAGCACGGATGGGTCTCTGGAAATTGTGTTGTTAAGGAAAGTGTTTTGCCTGAGTTGCAATGGTATTATGTGGACATCGGCAATATTTCAGAAACAGGAGAGGTGGGAGACAGAACCGGGGTGGGGGTGGGGACTTGGGAAGACAGACAAGAGCTCTGGAAGGTGGGAGAGCAGCTGGTCTGCATTTTTATTGGTGTTAATCTTAGGGTGGATTGAAATTTTAAAAGTTAAGACCTAATATAATTTCAAAGGCCAAATATTATTTCAGTAAGTCCCAGTGGCCAACTCTGCTATTTAAGAAAGTGAGACCATTTTTCTTTTCCTTCTTACTAATTTGATTAAATTCAATCGTGCCCGCTTCGTGAACGTATTTTAGCACCTCTCAAGTATATTTCACTTTCTGAGGATGGTAGAATTGTTTTCCGATTAATCCACACGTCCCTGCATGAAATGGTTTTAAAATGTTTAAAAATATTTGTTATTATTACTATCATTGAGTTTGTTTAATTCTGCAGAGGATCAGAGAGGGCTCAGACGGACTGCAGGGAGCCACAAAGCAAATGCAGGACCGGGCTGGTGCCAGGCCTGTGGGTCCCTGCTGCCATTTGGCTAAAGGTTCCTCATGGGATCCCAGAGCCACACGCACTTACACTCTAGGGATAATCTAACCCGACACTTTCATTTTATATGTAAGAAAGAAAAAGTCCAGAGGGGTTAGAGAGATTTGACTGAATTCATGCAGCTGGTTGGCGATAGCTTAGACGCCAGAACCCCAGCTCTCAGGACAGCTCTTTCTGGGGCACTACGTCACACTTAAGTTACAGAGAAACGGTCATGGGAAGGGTAGCACTCACATACAACTTGGTGATTATTACCATTCATTAGGCATATTCTCCAACCGGGGTGGGTGAAAATGATTTTCTGAGAAGCTACATCAAGGCCGTATCCTTAACCAGCTGCAGCTAATAGGGGCCCACGTGCTTGGAATGAGCCAAGAGGTATTCAGAAGTCTGTGGCCCCAACAAGCAGCACGTGGGTAACATGGTGTGTGTGGGGGGGATACTGATTCCCCAGTGCTTCCTTACCACCAGGCTTCCATTGGTCTCCCCATGTCTCTAGGTCTTTCAAGCAGATACCCATTGGATGGCATTGGTTTGCTGTCTGCTCACCTTTGGAGTACTTTCTATCTGTTATCGTTCCTCTAGGCCCTAGAATCTAGGGGGTCTTCTTTATCTCATCCCCTCAGCTAATCCCACCAGCATTTATTGAGGGCTTGTCCACCAGGTACCCAGTGATTTGCAGGGAGGAAGTCTTGGGAAGTAGAGTTTTCAGGACTGGAACTTAGAAATGGCAGAGTGCCACTTCTGTTTCAGACTTGGTGGAAATTATTGGGGATACCACTCTACATCTCTCTGCCTTTATTTCTTCCTGTGTGAAAGTGTACTCCATAGTTCTCTAAAATGATAGAAATGAGTGAATGAATAAATATTACGTGCACCAAGTTCTCTGGAAAAAGATGTGATTTCAATACAGTTTATGTATGTATAATAGCATAGGCAGCTACTTGTAGTCTATTTTATACATTTTCCTTTCCCTTCTTTTTTTGAATATTTATTGAGATATGAAGACTTAATGTATACATTCATAAAATAATAGAACACCAAACTGGAAGTTACCTCGTAGATTTTAAAATCCAATCATGTGAGATTCAGATTATAAATATGGCTTCTGGGAAAGCTGTGATTTGCCGAGAATCAGCCCGCTTGTAAGTCACAGAGTGAGAATCGGAATGAGTATATTTTGGCTTCAGGGTCCACGTTTTTCACCTTATTTGCTTTTTTATAAAACATGGTCAGAAATTCTGCCCTCCAGTAGTTTATAGTTGGGAAGCCACCTTGGACAGATTCATTTTGGTGAACATTCTTACGTTGTGTGCTCATTAAAGTTTCTTGATTTAACAAATTAATTTCTTCTGGCTTCTTCCCGATCTGCAGTCGATGCTGTGAAAAGAAAAGCTGTGGAAACCGAAACGAGACTCCTTCAGACCCTGTCATCATCGACAGGTAGGGGAAAAAAGATGTTTTTGGTTTCTTTCCTTCATGGAACTCAACCCTGAGGACTGATCACTTGGGGCTTTGCTGCAAAGTTGGTTTCATGTTTTCTGAACACAGTATGCTGGGCCAACAGGGGCTATCTCCTGCTGGCTGGCCTTTCATGGAAGAAGTCCGAATCTTCCTTTGGAACCTGTGTCTCTAAATCCACAGTGGATTCTCTTTCAGGTACCCTAATTCTGGCCTGATAAGGGGTGTATAGGATAAAGGATGGTCAATGATGCTGTCTCTCTCCTCTGGCAGGGTATGGTTTCAATCAGTTTTCTAGAAGAGGTGGTATACCCCAAGTTATCATTCTCAGGGATTGCTGCTGAGTTGAACACTATCCATTTAGATTACCGTTAAGGATTATGACAAGCTCTCTGTTGCACCAAGGGAGATTTCTTTCTACCGTGGAGAGTTGCATTCTGGGTTCTGTTATATTCAGAATGGGTAAGATTCTCTGGGACAAGATGCTAATTCACTGAAATGTGATTTAGCCATCCTCAGCTGTCTGTTTTTGTGATTGGAAACAGAACTTACAAACCAACGAAGAAATACCAAATTAACTTCCAGCAATCATGTAATTTTTAAGAAACCCCATATTCCCACCCCTAATTTTTTCTCTTTCGTTAAAAAACGGAATAATTCCCTATTGCTGCTTTCTTTGGGTTTTCGTATTTCTAGCCAGGTCCTGAAATGGATTGGAGAGACCACAGTCTCCAAAGTTGTTATTCCAATATTCCAACGAATTCTCAGTAGGGAGAACGGAACCTCTGGCATTCTTCCCAGAAAGCCAGCTTGGTTTCTTTGTCGAAAGTATAGCATAGCCTTAGGAATTGAGGAGGCTGGAATTCTGATCCTGCCGTAGCTTCTGACCTTGGGCAAAGCACCCAGCAGCTCTGATCTTCAGAGGTGTAATGGTGGGCTGGGTGGCACTGTGGGCTGCTGCTGATTTCGGCACTTTTGCGGTGTTCTTTGAGATGCTTGGATGAGGGTGACAAGCAAATACTTGTAAAATTTTTGTTGGATGTGGATGGTGTCTTTGCTATTTTGGGAAGTTCTGGCGAACGGCATTTTAGGGATCTATTTGGGGTTGGTCTCTCTCTCTCTCTTTTTTTTTGACAGTGCAGAGAAGCTTAAATATACAAAATTGCAAAGACTCTGGGGTCAGTCATCTTTCTCAGTTTATAGATGAAAAAACTGAACCCAGAGTGGTGGCAAGACTTGCACAGCTGCCTGGGGCACAGCCCTCTTTACTTTTTTTTTTTTAAAATTTCAGATTAATATGAGGGTGCAAACAATTAGGTTACAATGTTTGCATTTGTTAGGTGAGGCCCCTGTTGTAGTTGTGTCCCACCCCTAGGAGGTGTGCTGTATACCCTCCCATCTGCCCATTTGCTGGGAGCACCCCAATTCCCCTCCCTCTTCCTCCTCCCTTCCTCTCCTCCCCCCACCTCCCAACTTGAATTAAATGGAGTCTTTCTCTTGCATGGTGTATATGAGTTTGTCTGCTGGCTTCACATTGGTATCTGTCTTTGCTCCTGACTTGTGCTGCTCTTCACGGCCACAACCTCATCATCCTCTCTCTCTGTCCTCCCTGACGAGTGGAACCTACTCATTTCTCTACTTCCCAGATCTTCTGAGGAACTGGGAGCATCTGGGAAGCTGCCTAAACTCAGATCTTGTCCTTTCCACCATACATACTGAGCTCACCAATCTTTGATCTTTTTCACTAACTTTAGCTCCTCTTTCTAGCAGGTCCTCTGACCTCGTGCCTGTTACACCTTTTCTTGTAATAAATCCCCTGTAAACCAGCTTTAGAAATGTTTGCCAACCTCTGCGCGCTGGCCTGCACCTTGCATCTCCTGGGTGCACGCCTAAAGGACTGACTCTGTGCGTCACAGAGGTTCTTACTTTAAAGAACTGCGTGTAACCTGCATTCCCAGCAAAGCTGAATGTGCTCACGTTCTCTTTCTCCATGACGCATGTTACATCTGCCAAAAAAGCAGTCTCTTTACATCCGTGGAAAGAAAAGGTTTTCACACTGGGTGCGCCTCATAGTTTGTGCTGGAATGCCTTAAATTGTTCTGAGGTGGTGGGGACTGCATCTTGGCTGTCTATCGTGGAGTTCTGTATGACCATGGCAGGTATTTTTACCTTCCTGTATCCAGTAAAACAGCCCAGTGTGGCCTCTGCGTTGCTGGAAATAGAAGCTACTTCCGAAATGTTGCGGGTCTGCATGTGGAAATGCACAACAAAAGGGAACAGTAAATTGACCAGTATCAGGTTTTAAGAGAACCCATTTTATTATAAACAGATGCATGCGCTCCGCTTTCTTCTGGGTACGGCTTTCATTCGAAGGTAATCATTTCCTCACTGAAAAGTTGTCTTATTGCTTCCGAATGTCTTTGGGGCTTACCTCTCCATTTCTTGCCTTCATTCTTGGAAGGGAAAGGGCATGAGTCTGGCCTCTATTTGTTGGAGGTGGGAAGGGAGCTTTGTGCCACCCAGGGGTTTGGTTGAACTGTGCATCTGGTCCCCGGGTTCAATGTCTGTCAACGTGGAGGTGTCAAGTTCCCTCGTAAGCACCAAATGGGTGCAAAGTCGTCTATTTGGATTTCCTCTCAGTAAATATAGAACTCTGGTCTTTAGCCTTTGTTCCTATAATGCCCACTAATTATCTCCTACCCCTTCTCAACTTTCCTTACACATCAGGTACGTTCCAGCCCCGGCTCCCGGGAAGCCTGTTTATTCCCTTGGAATTGTGCAAGTTCAGGGGAAGGGAGGGGAGGCACACGCATGGCTCCCAAACTTTTTGCCACCATGGGCCTCTTTTATTTTTTTTCCTGGGTAATCCCAGGGTTTGGCAAGATTCTGCCTCCCAGACTGTAATGAACAAGTAATAATGCAGCTGTATTTCCATTTTTATTAATCAAAGACACAGAGGGGGATGGGAAGGGAAAAAGTTCTCATCTTGGACATGACCTTAATGTCATCAATGGCCAAGTGGAGTTTTTGATCGGGATGAGACAGCCAGCCTTACCACACCAACTTGAGATGCTTCCAGCTCAAACACAAAACAACTTGATTATTTAGTGTGTTCCTGTGACCACATCCCAGTAGGTATTCAGTTTCCAATAGGCCACTTGCAATATAACAAATAGCTTGCCCTACCTTGTGGTCCCTTAATTAAAAGCTTTGGAGTTTATAATAAAGGCTCTCCCCTTAAGGGTGTAGTTCTCCACTTCCCCAAGACTAAACCCCAGACTTGGAGGGTTTTTCCCTGCTAAATTACTCCCTGCCTTAATCTCTCTAGAAATATAAATTTGTTTTTCATTTTCAGTTGTTTTTTTTCTGGCATGCTTTTGTGAATTCTTGGGCAACCACGCCCCTCTCCCAAAAGCCAGGCCAATGCACAGCCCTGCATTACGTGCTGCTGAGTCAGGGGCCGCTGGAAGAGCCTGCCTTCTGTGTGAAAGTGTGAGCCTGTGTGTGCGTGGAGGGGGCGGGGAGTAGTGTTTATGTTGATTAATTTTTAGGGCAAAAATCCAGAGTCCCTGTACAGACAAACCCAAAGCAGAATAGTACAATACAAAAACAATGGTCTTCAGCCTAGATTTGTCTACAAAGACCTGTGTGGGACATAAAACTAAACAGGCTCGCACTGATTACATTGTGGTTTCGGGGCGGGGGGGGGGAGCCCTATTTCAGCCTTGTTTGTTGTGAGCTGTGCTCTCTTCAAACTCTCCTCTCTCTGGAAGCTTCTTCTGAATATCCATGGATTTCTGAGGTTAACTCGGTGATTCATGAGGAGAGGATTTTAGGGACAGTCTTAATGACATGGGAGGAGGAATGAGAGTCCTTATTACTCCTTGCAGGCCCCATAAAACATCAGATGGGTAGAGAGGGCAAAGTTTCCTTTTGAGTTTTTGCAGATTGTCCCATTCATGTGCACCCTGGGCGTGGTGTGGTGTTTTCTATTAAAATGACAGTAATAGGGGTGGTGCGTGTGGCTCAAAGGAGTAGGGTGCCTGCCCCACATACCGGAGGTGGCGGGTTCAAACCTGACCCCGGCCAAAACTGCAAAAAAAACCCCAAAAACACAGTAACAGCAACAACAAAAACTCAGGTCCACTGTATTACTCAAATGCAAAATATCTCAGTCTTTTGTCTTGTGATATTGGTCTCAAATATTTCTGAGCTCTGTTTCCAGAAGGACCATTTTGAATGTATTTGGTCTTTTTTTTTTTTTTCCTAGAAGCAAAATGAATAACAGAATGACTACCATCCCAAGGTTTACTCAAAAATATCTGGGCTTCAGTTGTTTGTGGTGGGGGGCAGAGAGGGGAGTTCTGACATTATTTTCCATTTTTTTTTTAAAAAAATGCCATTGTGGTAAAATATATGTAACCCGAAACTTAGCAGATTAAAACCATTTTGAAGTATGCAGTTCAGTGACATCAAATAGATTCACATAGCTGGACAACCATCACCCTCATCTATCCATAACACTTTTTTGTCGTGCAAAACCAAAACTCTGCACTTATTAAACAACTCCCTGTGCCCTGTGCCCCCTGCCCTGGCCCCCACCACTCTATCTTCTGTCTCTATGAATTTGATTATTCTGGACCCCTCACATCAGTGGAATCAGACTGCATTTGGCTTTTTTTTTTTCATGGAGCCTCACATCCTCGAGGGAGGATTCTCCCTGTCACAGCATGTGTCAGAAATTTCTTTCTTTTAAGGCTGAGTAGTATTTCATTGTAGGTATGGACCACATTTTTTTTTTTTTTTGCAGTTTTTGCCAGGGCCGGGTTTGAACCCACCACCTCCGGCATATGGGGCCGGCGCCCTACTCCTTTGAGCCACAGGCACCATCCCGGACCACATTTTGTTAATTCATCTGGCCAAGGACAGTGGGTTACTAGGACCTTTAGGCTATTGGAACTACTGCTGCTGTGACCGTGGGA